CCATCATCCATCCATCATCCATCATCCATCATCCATCCATCCATCATCCATCTGTCCATCTGTCCATCCATCCTTCATCTGTCCATCATCCATCCATCCATCCCTCCATCCATCCAATGTCCACCATCTCCATCCATCTCCACCATCTCCATCCATCCTTCATCTGTCCATCTGTCCATCCCATCCTGCGTCCATCCATGGATTCCTCCCCCCATCCATCCTCAAACCCTTCCTCCTCCATCTCCATCCCTCTCTCCATGTCCATGTCCATCTCAATCCTCATCTCCACCTCCATGTCCATGTTCATGTCCATGTTCATGTCCATCTCCACCTCCATCTCCACCTTTATCCCCGTCTCCATCCCCATCCTCATCTCCACCTCCATGTCCATGTCCACCTCCATCTCCACCTCCATCTCCACCTCCACCTCCATCTCCACCTCTACCTCCATCTCCATCTCCATCTCCATCTCCATCCCTACCTCCATCACCATCCGCACCTCCATTCCCACCTCCACCTCCATCCCCACCTCCATCCCTCTCTCCATCTCCACCTCCATCTCCATCTCCATCCCCACCTCCATCCCTCTTTCCATCTCCATCTCCACCTCCACCTCCATCCCCACCTCCACCTCCACCCCTCTCCCTCCCGGCCCTCACCTCGCACCCCGTCCGCCCTCTGCACCCTCCTCAGCGCCTCCTCGGCCTCGTCCTCGTCCTCTCCGGCCGCGGTGACCACGGTGACCGGCAGCCCCCTGGCCCTCAGCTCCCGCGCCAGCTCCTGCCCGGTGTCCACCCACAGGTCCTGCGGCGCGGCCACCACGGCCACGTGCGCCCAGCGGAAGTAGTGCAGCACGGCGTGCAGGACGCCGGCCGGAGCGGGCAGGGGGTTGACCAGAGTGACCGCTCCGGCCCCGGCGCACGCCCAGGACACCAAGGGCTTGTTCCAGGCGGCGGCCAGGAGCCCGGCGGCGCCGCAGGCCGCGGGGTTGAGCGGGCCCACGATGGCGCCGGCGTAGCGCTCGGCGCTGAGCAGCCCGGCCACGGCCTGCGGCGTGGAGCAGGCCTCGGGCAGCACCACCGCGTCCCACCAGTAACCCGCGGTCAGCGCCGGGTCGCGGTTGAGCCGCGCCACCGCCAGGCGCGAGGCCACGTCCGGCAGAGCCCGTGCCAGCAGAGGGTCGCAGCTCCAGGGACCCAGCACGGCCACCTTGAAGGTGGCGGCCAGAGAGGGGCAGGGGACGAGGAGGAGGAGGAGGAGGAGGAAGGGGACGGGGGACAGCGGGGGAGGCCACCGGGGGTGGTGGGACAGCAGCAGGAGCGGCAGGGGACAGGGGGGGATGTGGGGGGTGGTGGCGACAGTGGTGGAACCGTGGGAGGTGTCACCACCATGAGGGTTGTCACCGTCATGGGAGGTGTCACCATGGGAGATGTCACTGTCATGGGAGATGTCACCATGGGAGATGCCACCATGGGAGATGCCACCATAGGTGGTGTCACCATGGGAGGTGTCACCGTCATGGGAGGTGTCACCATGGGAGGTGTCACTGTCATGGGAGATGTCACCATGGGAGATGCCACCATAGGTGGTGTCACCATGGGAGGTGTCACCATCATGGGAGGTGTCACCATCATGGGAGGTGTCACCATGGGAGATGCCACCATAGGTGGTGTCACCATAGGCGGTGTCACCATGGGAGGTGTCACCATCATGGGAGATGTCACCATGGGAGGTGTCACCATGGGAGATGTCACCATGGGAGATGCCACCATAGGCGGTGTCACCATGGGAGGTGTCACCATCATGGGAGATGTCACCATGGGAGGTGTCACCATGGGAGGTGTCACTGTCATGGGAGGTGTCACCATGGGAGACGTCATTGTGGGAGGTGCCAGCACAGGAGGTGTCACCATCATGGGAGGTGTCACTGTCATGGGAGGTGTCACCATGGGAGGTGTCACCATCATGGGAGGTGTCACCATCATGGGAGGTGTCACCATGGGAGATGCCACTGTCATGGGAGGTGTCACTGTCACAGGAGGTGTCACCGTCACAGGAGGTGTCACCATCACAGGAAGTGTCACTGTCATGGGAGCTGTCACCATCATGGGAGGTGTCACCGTGGGAGGTGTCACCGTCATGGGAGGTGCCAAACCCCTGGGAGACGTCACTGTGGGAGGTGCCACCACAGGAGGTGTCACCATCATGGGAGGTGTCACTGTTGGAGATGTCACTGTGGGAAGTGACACCACGGGAAGTGTCACCATCATGGCAGGTGTCACTTTTAGAGATGTCCCTGTTGTAGATGCCACCACCATGGGAGGTGTCACCATCAGAGATGTCCCCGTTGTAGATGCCACCATGGGAGATGCCACCACTGTTGGAGGTGCCACCATGGGTGATGTCCCTTTTGGAGAAGCCACCATCATGGGAGACGTCAGTGAGGGAGGTGGCACTGTGGGAGGTGGCACCATTGGAGATGTCACCATTGGAGATATTCCTGTTGGAGATGCCACCACTGTGGGAGGTGTCACCGTTGGAGATGTCACCACCATAGGAGGTGCCACCACAGGAGATGCCACCACTGTGGGAGGTGTCACCATTGGAGATGCCACCATGGGAGACGTCACTATGGGAGGTGCCACCACTGTGGGAGATGTCCTTGTTGGAGGTGCCACCACAGGAGATGCCACCATGGGATGTGATGCCACAGGAGGTGCCACCACAGTGGGAGATGTCACTGTTGGAGATGCCACCATTGGAGATGCCACCACGTGCGATGCCACCACAGTGGGAGATGTCACCATTGGAGACGTCACCATTGAAGATGTCACTGTTGGAGATGTCACCACCATGGGAGGTGCCATCATGGCGGGTCATGACATGAGAGGTGCCACCACCGTGGAAAATGTCATTGTGGCTGATGTCACCCTGGGAGACGCCACCACTGGCGATGCCACCATGGGAAGTGACACTTTTGGAGATGTCACCATGGGAGGTGGCAGCACAAGAGGTGTCACCACCACTGGAGATGCCACCGCTGTTGGAGATGTCACCGTGGGAGATGAAGCCGTGAGAGGAGCCACCACCATGGAAAGTGCCATCACCGTGAGAAACGTCACTGTGGGAGATGTCACCTCTGCAGGTGCCACCGCAGGAGATGCCACCACGAGAGATGATGCCATGAGCAGAGCCACCAACATGGGGGTGGTCACCGTGGGAATTGTCACCACCAGAGATGTCACCACCCTGGGAGTTGTCACCATGCCGGGAGATGCCACCGTGGCAGAAGCCACCAGAAGAAGAGCAACCATGAGAGGTGATGCCACCGTGGGAGACAACGCCATGGGAGGTGCCACCACTGTGGGAAAGGTCCCAGTGGGAGGTGCCACCGTAGGAGATGCCACCACAGCTGGAGATGTCACCGTGGGAAATGTCACCATGGGCAATGTCACTGCGGGAGGTGCCACCACCATGGGAGATGCCACCGCTGTTGGAGATGCCACCGTGGGAGATGCCACCATGGGAGGTGATGCCATGGGAGATGCCACCCCCATTGAAGATGCCACCGTGGGAGATGCCACCACTCTTGGAAATGTCACCGTGGGAAATGCCACCACAGGAGATGATGCCACCACCGTGGGAGATGCCACCATGGGAGGTGATGCCATGGGAGATGCCACCACCGTTGGAGATGCCACTGTAGGAAATGTCACCATGGGAGATGCCACCACTCTTGGAGATGTCACTGTAGGAAATGTCACCATGGGAGATGATGCCACCACCGTGGGAGATGCCACCATGGGAGGTGATGCCATGGGAGATGCCACCACCGTTGGAGACGCCACTGTTGCAGGTGCCACCTCCGTGAGCGATGTCACCACAGGATGTCCCGGTGCCACCACAGGAAGTCCCGGTGCCACCGCAGGATGTCCCGGTGCCACCAGGGGCGGTGTCCCTGCTGTCCCCAGCCCCGTCCCCGCGGGGCCGCATGTCCAGGCCGTGCCGGGGGGGGTCCCTCAGGCCCAGGGGTGGCCGGAGGTGTCCGGAGATGTCACCATGGTCACCGTGGGGGTCACCTGGGGGACACAGAGGGGTCACTGGGGGGTCACCGCCGTGGGGGAGGGGTCAGGGGTCACTGGGGGGGTCCCGGCCCCGTTCCCGCTTCCGGGAAGGGGGGAGGGGAAGGAGGGGGGGAGGGGAGGGAGG